ATTCCATGACCAAGAGCAACTCGTCATTCATCTCCCGCGTTATCGTCAACGAGAACCTCTCCAAGAAACTAACCGACAGAAAGCCGGAGGGTGTCTTTTGCTTCGCCAACATCAACCGTGCCTTCCAGTGGCTGGACCTGTCGGCCTGGCAGAAGGTACCCATCGCATGCGTCCTCGGATCCAGGAGCTGAAACTGACGAAACGCAGCAAGATTATCTGACCAAGATTCTGTTCACCAGGGCGCATTGCTTGTGCCACGACATCAACCCCGTGACGAAGAGCCTGGGCCACATTGACGTGATCATGGGCTTCTCCACGGGCGAGATCATCTGGTGGGAGCCAGTGTCTCAGCGCTACACGCGTCTGAACAAGAATGTGAGTTGTGTTGAGCCGGCGTGTTTGGGCCCGTAGACTCACGTGTGGCAGGGCATCATCAACGGCACCCCCGTGTCTGAGATTCGGTGGATTCCCGGCTCAGACAACCTCTTCCTCGCGGGCCACATGGATGGCTCGCTTGTGGTGTACGACAAGGAGAAGGAGGATGCGCCTTTTGTGCCCGAGGAGGAGCTGGCGACGAACGGCGTGGCCAATGGCGACACCGACGCCACCGACTCTGGCGAGTCCAGCGCGCCCAAGAACGTCAATCCGAACACGCGAATCCACATTTACAAGTCTGTGCACTCCAAGAACCAAAAGGTCAACCCGGTACGCGGCATGGAAACTTTCCAATCAGCGCATCAATGCATTTGCCTTTAGCCCTGATAACCGCCACCTGGCCGTGGTCTCCGAGGATGGCTCGCTGAGGATCATTGACTACCTGAAGGAGGAGTGAGTATCAGCTATTCGGAGTCTGAGGGATGAAGTTGACAAGAGACCAGGCTGCTCGACCTTTACCACTCGTACTACGGCGGCTTGATCAGCGTGTGCTGGTCGCCTGACGGCAAGTATGTTCTTACAGGCGGACAAGATGACCTGATCTCCATCTGGTCTGTCATCGATCACGCCATCATCGCTCGCTGCCAAGGCCATCAGTCCTGGGTCACCTCGGTGGCGTTTGACCCGTGGCGATGCGATGACAAGAACTACCGGTTCGGCAGCGTCGGCGAGGACCGCAGGTTGTGCCTATGGGATTTCAACGTCGGCATGTTGAGCAGGCCAAAGGCGGTATGTACCTTTGTTCCACGGTCTTCGGTGAGCAGAATCTAACTTTTCAACAGGCGTCCGTCCGCCAGCGAGGCTCGATTTCTTCTCGTTTCCCCGGCTCCACGTCGCTGCAGCGCCTCGAGACAGGTAACACGACGACTAGTGGACGTCTGCGGTCCAACTCTGCCCTCTCGACGGCGGATATCGGTGACGACGAGGAGGGCATCGTCCACCCTGTGGAGCCCCGCTCACACACTGCCATGCTCCCGCCTGTCATGGTATGATAGCTCACCCTTGATGACATGACACTGCTGACACGTGACGCAGTCCAAGGTCATCCACCCTAGTCCCATGTGCTGGCTCGAGTTCACCGAGGACTACATCATGACAAGCTGCAAGTCTGGTATGCTATGATTTCTTTTCAACCGTGTCTGGAAGTGTGGGCTAACGCTATCAAAGGTCACATCCGCACCTGGAGCAGGCCAACAGAGTCAGCGGTTCCAAAGGACGGAGCAACACAGCCTGCGAAATAGAAAATGATTTGAAACTTGGTATTGGATGAATTTCTGTGGACGGCGGGTTTCGATTTTACCCTTGTTGTTCCTACCTAAACAATTTTGTACATATGAATGCGATATTAGAGGAGGTCCGCCGGGCTTGATCCCGATGGCTGCGGCAATTTGAAGTTGAGTTGGGTTCCGACAAAATCGAGTCTCGTTTTTACAGTGGATGCCGTACCTGAGACTTGAAGCGTTTGCCTCGGAAGTACTTCACAGAGGCCGACCTTGCTTCGACTTGTTGACAATTTCTGAGTCTGGAAAGAATCGGCCTCCTTGAGTACCGGAATGATTACGAAGTGATGGGGTGACGATGATGGGGTCCCAACCAACGCAAAAGGCCCGCGCTGACAGTCTCTACGGCTTTCTCCGCACATTGTGTTTGCTGCCTTGCTAGTCCTTGTCCTCGCATTTTGAATCCAGTCTATAGGTCGATTGCATATGGTATATGTCTGGGTGGGGAGCAACCTCTTGATCAGGTGGGGGTCAAGCATGGGCACTGCAATGCTGCAGGTTACATGATGAGATGAAAGGGAGCGTCCCCACGAGCTCCAGTCTCCATCCCACCTAGCTTTGCTTGGCAATCAATTCCCACCCTTCTTCATGCCGATGAAATGGCTTGCGGAGCGGCTTCGTTACATCGGCGCGCTGAGCGACCCCGTGACCTGGCTACCTTACTCGGAGTCCCCAAACAGGCCAATTATCCGTATGTTTTCGTTTCCATAGCCAGCCAAGTAGGCGTCGGCGCTTGATTCATGGTGTGAGTGGCCTTCAAGCGTAGCGGGCTGGCCCCTGAATGGACTGACTGACGTTGCAGCAACGAGCATCAGAAGGGCTTTTGTAAAGCCTTCCAAGCACAAGCAGGCGGATTCTGGAATTGGGATCACAGAGTCTGAGCCGTTGATCTCAACTCAAGTGTTGGAATTCAAAATCACCAGATGCCTTCACACCATCTCATCATGTTACATAGTCATGAGAGCAAAATTATCACATGGATACTGCCAGTAGGTCGTACATCTTGTCTTGGTAATAATAGGTCAACGCTCTACCCAGCCAAAACACCACCCAATACAAAAACATTATTTAACATCAATAATTCATCGACGAACCAGGCTGAAAGGCCGCTCCGTTCTCTACTCCTTGATGACGGCCTCATCCTCGGCAAACTGATCGACGCGCGTGCTGCCAAACTTGCGAGCGCTGACCTCCTGCTCGAACAGGATGTCCAGCTCACCATAGGTGCGGCCCTTGGTCTCGGGAAGGCGGAAGTAGGCCCAGATGAGGATGAGGACGACGAGGCCGGCCCAGAAGAGACCGGTCTTGGCACCCCAGTTCCAGGAGTTGACGCCAAGCATGCGGGGCATGAGGACGTTGTTAACGAGCTGTGTCATGTCAGTTTTTGGTTTCGAGTGGACGTTGCAGAAGGATGAAACTTTACGCCTGCCATGTTGTTGAAGTTGCGGGCCAGGACGATGGTCTTTAGCCTTGAGACGGGTCGAGGGGAGCTCGGCCACAAGGGTGTAGCAAAGAGGGCCAACAGTCATATCATACATGAAAGTGTCTATGATCATAGTCAGTAAGCTGGGCTTGGCCGGTGGCTGATCCTATGAGTGTGGCTTACAGAAAATAAGGAGGCTACCGATAGCCCACGACGGACCAGACATGGAAGCCGGAGCAAATCCGAGGCCACCAATAATCACGAGAATGATCAGAAGGGAGCCCATTCCGCCGAGGTACATTGTGCGACGGCCGAATTTCGTCATCAGGACCCAAGAGAGAACGACACCGATGGCACCAACGGCGTACTGGATCAGGTTGAAGGTGAAGGAGTTCTCCGCCGAAAGGCCGGCACGCTCGTAGAACTGGATCGAGTACCCCATCATGGCGCTACCACAAAGGTTCTGCGCAGTGTACGAGATGGAGGCAATCTCCGTGCGCCTAAGGTCAGACCTCTGGAAGGCGTGCCAGTAGTTCATGCCGGCGGAGTGCTCCTCTTCAAGTTCGTTCGTCGCCTTGATCATCTCGAGCTGGTCGTCCACGTTGAAGTCAACACCGGACTTGGGTGAAACAAGGCTCATGATAGCACGCTTGGCATCGTCGAATCGGCCTTGGCGGACGAGCCACCAGGGAGACTCAGGAGCGAAGATGGTTCCGAGGATGATGAAAGGAGGCCACGCCCACTGCAGAGCAAAGGGGATACGATAGGCCCACTGGCCCTGCATGGAGAAAAGACCACGGAGAACACCGGCGGCAATCAACTGGCCGATAACCCAGCAGAGGTTGACGTATGCCGTGAGATACGGTCGAAGGACGACGGGGGCGATATCAGATGCGTAGGCGAGGGTCAAAGTCTGGAAGATACCCCAAGGAATTCCAAGGACAATCTGGCCGGCGAGAAGAGTGTCCAGGTTCTGAGCGAAGAAGGGAATAAAGAGAAGCTAGTTGTGACGTCGTTAGCGTGTTGCTCGGACTGATCTTCGGCTTCAACCATCTTGTGATGAAGCCACAACTCCCAGGACCTCAACTTACGGCGATCATCATAAATTGTGAGACAAACATGGTCCTACGGTATCCTATAGCGTCGGAAAGGTACCCATTGATGTAGAGGCCGATGATCTGTCCGCATTGTCCGCCGACCTGGATGTATGTCTGCCAGTTCGCGGAGATGACTTTGCCTCCTTTGCCGTCCGGCTCGTTGCCGAACTTCTCCTGGAAGCTATGGGGCACGTAAGCATGTGGTCCTCTTTTAATCCAGTACCAAGGTACGGCTGAACCACCGCAAACACCACTGCCAATGCCACCGCCAATATCTCAGGTACCTGTGGTACCTGAGATCAAGATGAAGGGCAAAAAGGTGAGACTTACGCGTCGTAGCCGTAGAAGGCTCCCATCAGAGATAAATCGTAGCCCTCCATGATGATGGCAGTTGAGAACAATAGACTAAAGAGGATCGCCTTGGGGTAGAGCTTGAACGAGTCCTTGAGAGTCAAGTTGTGCTCACGCGTAGTGGCATTGCGAGCATCGTCACGAGCCTGCTCATGGTGCTTGACATCACCTCCATGAGGTAGGTTCTCGACCGCAGCCTCGATCTTGGAGTCGGACGTCATGTTTGTAGTTGTTCTCGCCTCTGGAGAGATGGATGAAGATGAGGAGTCGAGTGAGGAGTGAGTGGTGATCTGCTGAGGCAAAGCAGTGTCCATTGTGCGGGGGACGACTGGAGGTCTTATAGATCTCGGAACTTGGACATGTCTCGTATGACTGCTTGATGGTTGTTGGGGAGAGATGGGGTCGAAAGTGGAAAGTTTGGAGATTTCCAGCTTAACGGAAAGGAGACATCAGATGGACAGGGTTCTCCCACGGGGCCATGACGCGAAGAGACTTACCCCAGACGAGTCTTTCGCCTTCCCCAGGGGAAAGAAAGGAAAAGGATTGGATTGACGAGTCAAGTCTGGCTGGTTACCCCAGACCACCTCGGCCGTCTAGAACACCTGCTTAGCCCAATGGGGAAATGCGCGCTCCACGCGTCTTCGCTTAAGGCCCGGCCTCAGAGAGCTTGTCGGACCGACAAGCTGCTGTGCGTGATGCATCATGCGTGGGGTGTTGAGCCGCCTGTGGGCATCTCAAGGGGGCTGACTTGTCGGTCCGACAACAACCAAGAAACAGAATGAGATTCCCAATGCCGGGACGCTACTGCGGAACCTTGCTTGCCCAGCACTCCTGGTCTGGGTCACCAGACAGCCTGTTTGGGGCCGGGGAAATGCTCGCTCACCCCGACTTTCTCGCTGAATTGGACAGCTCTCTGACCTGCAGCCATGCGTCCCGTGGGGAAGCTGTTATGGAACTAGCACCATAGTCTGATCCGATGTGATGGTTAAGAATTCAGCTGACAATGTAGATCACGTCTGGTTCATGTCTACTTCAACCGCCACGAAGCAAGCCATCTTTTCTTCCCCTCTTGCCATCCCTTTTAGCAGCTAACGCAGGCACGTTTCCTGTTCATTGAATCTTGCCCTGCCCCGAGCAACACATCATGAGTCTTGTCACTACACGCACCACCGCTCACGAGGCGTCCACACAGACACGTCTGCCTCTGAAGCACCATGCGCCCTCATACCATCTGAAGGCTCGCGGCTGGATGAACGATCCGTGCGGCCCAGGTTACAACCCCATCACGAAAACCTATCACATCTTTTATCAATGTAAGAACAGAGCAACATTGCACATCTTCGTGGCATATATGATCTCGGTTTTAACACAATGATAGGGAATCCGTATGGCTGTGAGTGGGGCAACATGTCTTGGGGTCATGCAACGAGCCAAGATGGTTTGCGTTGGACACATGCTTCCTCAGGCGAGCCCGCACTCAAACCGAGTGAGCCCTACGACAAGGAGGGCATCTTCACTGGTTGCTTCTGGCCCACCGGACCTCACGGCGAGAAAGACCAACTCACCGTCGTCTACTCGTCCATTGCCGCCCTGCCCATCCACTGGACCTTGAAGCATATACGCAACTCCGAGGGCGTATCGCTTGCTACTTCCACTGATGCTGGCAAGACGTGGCAGAAGAGCGAGCTCAACCCCATCCTTGTGGGCGAGCCCGAGGGCGTCGAAGTTACCGGCTTCCGCGACCCGTTCCTCGCCGAGTGGCCTGCGCTCGACCGCATTCGCGGCGAGAAGAGCCTCTACGGCTTCTTGTCCGGCGGCGTCGTCGACAAGGGCCCCACGGTGTTCTTGTACGCCATCCAACCTGACAACCTTACGGAGTGGAAATATCTCGGTCCCCTCGTTGACCTAGCGCCTGGCTTCCGCGCGCCCGGTTCCTGGACGAGCGATTTCGGCGTCAACTGGGAATGTGTCAACTTTATCAGCCTGAAAGATGGTGCCCACGAGCAAGATTTTCTTCTCATGGGTACCGAAGGAGGCGTCAAGCCCAGGTATAAGGAGGGCGACGAAGAGCCCCTTGGCCAGTGGTCATCGTGGTTCTCCGGTTCGGTAGAGCAGACTGCGGCCGGCCCACGTCTGCGGCACGAGTTTGACGGTGTTCTGGATCACGGCAGCCTGTACGCGCCCAACTCTTATGTTCATCCTGAGACGCAAAAGAGGATCACGATAGGCTGGGTTCGAGAGGATGGCCTGCCAATGAGCCGTTGCAAAGCGAGGGGCTGGACGGGTTTCTTGTCCCTGCCACGGGAACTGTTCCTCTCCACGACACACAATGTGACCAGGGGGCCTGAAATCACCAATCGAGGACATTCGTTCTTTCAAGATTATGGAGAGCGGCTCGGGTGGAAAGACTGTGCAAACGCTGGGAATCAAGCCCATGGACGACCTCCGAACACTGCGCCCCTCCCGTCCGGCAGAGTGGTCATCTCTCGTCCGGACGAGCGCTGCCGGCATTCTGCGAGAGCGACCCGCAACCATAGCTGGAGCTCGACGCTGTGATCACAGTCGACCCAGGCAGAGGCGCGTCGGTTTCACATCTGGCAAAGTCCCGACGGCGTGCAGAGGACGACTGTGTACTTCATCCCCCAGGCCGAGCAGATTGTCGTTGACAAGAGTCTCTCCAATACCGAGGCGGATGTCGACAAGTCGCTTCTCGATGCGCCCTTTACACTTCTCTACTCGCTTGAAAATGAGACGGAGAAGCTGGAGAAGCTTCGCTTGCGCATCTTCCGTGACGGAGATGTGCTTGAGGTCTTTGCCAACGATCGCTTTGCATTGACCACAACAGTGTACTGCGACGATTCGTGTGCAGGCATCAGCTGGTTCCTCGATGACGAGGGGTCACACAGCGTGTTTGATTCGGTTCAGCTGTGGGAGGATATGGCCGGCACGCAGGGACAGGTGCTTGATATTGGACAGCCTCATCTGTAAATAGTGGATGTCTTGTTTGTAATTATGTGCGTGGGGATGTCAACTAGACGGTAGAGCAGTCGCCTGTCTGTCGGAGTGAAGTGTTCACCGGCGGATACATGGCGTGGAGTATTAGCATTAGCATGATCATTTCCAACATGCAATCCTTGAGTGCAATGGTCTGTCAGAAATCACACATCAGTCATGAAAAAAGTCACACTCGCAGATAGCAGCGCATCTTGGTCATAGCTGGTCCATTGGCGACGAAGCCTGCGACAAAGCACCCAAGGGGACTGGTGAAAATGGTAGTCCGGGATACGACCCTCGAAGCGTGTCCATCTTCTCCTGCAAATAGACCCTGTGCTTGTCGCGCATGCGCTCAAAGTTGATGAGAAAGCGCGCTATGTAAAGGAAATCTTCAATGTGGCTCTCCATGCTCGGCTGGTTGACAGACACGGCCAGAACGTCGGCAATGGTGCTGGTGATCTCGAACAGTTTCTGGAGGATACCGCTGCCCTGTGTGCTGATGCTAGCAATGCTGTCCAGGCGGCTGACGAGGCTCCGAAGCTGTGTTGTCAGGCGTAGAGCGGGGAATTGTAATGAGAGACCCTCGTGGGTATGTGCGGGAGCCAAGCGTAAGAACCCCTTGGAGAGGGCGAGCTGCCAGAGCAGCGTCCGTATCCAGAGCCTGGTGATGAACAAATCGGCGTGCTGTAGCTCTGTGAAGCCATCGTGGCCGCTGAAGCGAAGTTCGCGCTCGGATTCCGCGGCATTTATTTCATGTTGGTCAAGCTGCACCTGTTTGCTTTCGATCCAGTCGACTGTGATTTGCGTAGCCCTATCTTCTCTACCATCCCAATTCGACAACAAAACGTCGTCGAGGATGGTAAAGAGTTCAATGATTCGATCAAAGCCGATTTGAATGTGCGCTGCAATGATTGGATCCCGCATCGGGACTCCAGACTTGAGGGGAGGGAGGATGCTGGGAAAGCCTGATGCGATGGTGAGGAATCTCTCATGAATGTAGGCCTCCCAGTAGAGTCTCTGAAACATGACCAAGTCGGCTCCCCGGAGTGTCTCTGCGCTACGCTGGCGTGTCTGGACGACCTGGATCATGGTGATGGCTTCTCGAAGATGGCCGAAGCTGCGATCATAGAACTTGAGGGGCATCATGGCAATTTCAAGATAGATACACGTCATGATCCGCTTGTTGGTGATGAGAGGGGTCTCATCTAGCCGGATGAATGAGTCTGGGCCAAGGTCGACGCGCCTGTGAGCCTCCAGGCTGTATTGAAGAAGCTCGTTCATTTGCGAAGCAGCATCGCCGTGCATGGTGGCCGAGGTCTCTGTCAGAAACGCAGTCGTAGCTCCAAAAGCATAAACCAAGGCAGCGTCTTCAAAACTCTCGTCCATGGCGTCGATGGCGGCGAATATGTCGGCCGGGGAGACTGCGGGGTTGAAGGGGTAAATGATCTGTTCGAATTGCGGGAGAAGGTTTCGAAAGAAGTCTTTAGGTGGCGGAGGACCAGACGAGGATCCAAGAAGGACAGTTTGGCCAGGTGAAAGCTGGCTTCCATAGACGGCGACTGGATGCTGTGCTTGTGGAGGGGATGGTTCTCCCGTGATTTCTCCCCGAGCTTTCGCAACAAGTCTACCCCGGATGGGATTTTTGCGTCTCTCTGGCTCAAGAGTTGCGCCAACGCACCGAATGCCATGAGTCTCGCAGTTGGCACATGGCTGGGCTCCGTCGCATTTAACCTTCCTCAACCGGCACCCATCACAGGCTCGCCTGACTCGAGTCGGGTGCGCGTTGTCGACTGGCATCGAGGCGGGCAGAGGGTTCAATTGATGGGGACATGGAGAAGATGGGTGAAAACTCAGGCAGGACAGCACAAAAATTGTGAAGTTGTGTTCAGCAGACGCACTCGGGATCTGGCGCAGGTTGTCAGAGCAAGGGAGGTAGCGAGCTGAAGTGCAGCTTCAGCCCAGGCGTCTGCCCTATTCAGCCACAAAGGCTTGGACCGGCGCGTGCCGTCGGGCCATGTCGTGGCTGGTACGTAGAGGTGGGGTAATCGAGGTTGCTTGATGACATCGCCTACGCGCGCGTGACATGCTTTACGCTGTACTTCAGTCCCTCGCCCGGAGTATGTTCCGTAGCTAATCATCATCCTGAATTGCTTCAGGAGAGGCATATCGTACACTGAATGAAGACATGGCTCCGCATCTCGGACCAATTTTACCGCTGTCGTCACCGTGCTGCTCAGTTCGCCATGAGGAGCCCTGTGATGATGCTGGGGACAGTCCCAGTCCTAGGAAGAGGCGCAAGACTATCGACGTCGCTTGCGAACGTTGTCGAACCAAAAAGAGTGCCGTCAGTGCCCTCCTGCCTGCCTCGCATGACTCGCTGGCCGTGGTTCCGGCGGCACTGACAAATCTAGTGTGACGGCTTTCGGCCAGCATGCACTGCTTGTGTGAGGAGACATGCGCAGTGCACATACCGAGCCAGCAAGCAGAAAGTCGAGGAGTACGAGACCGAGATTGAAGCTTTGCAGTGCAAGCTCCGGCATCATGAAGAGCTCGTGAAACGCCTGAAAGCCCTTCCGGAGGACGAGGCCGTCGAATCGCTCCGTTGTCTGCGTTCGATGTCCGACAGCGCCGGCCTGCCATCCCTCAGCCCCCGTACACCCTCACCCTCACTGCTTGCTGTGCCTCAGACCATGGCACCATCTACACACCTTGACCTTGATTCCGACTTCGATCTAAGAAGTCCTTATCTATCGACATGTCCCATGCAGGATCCACCCAGCGGCTCTTCGAAAATTCGAGCGGCATTGCCATCCTCGCCCGATTTGCCTTTTTCTGAAACCAGCATCATGCAGAAAAGCTCTACCGCAGTTGCCTCGGAAGCACTGCAGATACAACCTTCACTAGTAACTACACAGATAATGGACGTGATACGCGGCGGCCCTCACGCCGAGGTAAACGTCATGCTTCCTTGCGATCCTCGCTTGACCGGCTTGGACGTCGCATACTGGACCAACGTCCCGATGAGCAATATCTTCGCTGCCGCCATGTTGACGGCATACATACAATGGTACCATCCTTTCTCTGCAATGTTTGACGAAAACCTCTTTCTCGATGACCTCGTTCACCATCGCCATCAGTTTTGCTCCTCGTTCCTTGTTGCTGCTGTACTGTTGACAGCCTGCGTAAGTGCTACG